CCTTCTTTTTCGCTCTTTTTTGGCACAAGGAGAGCAAAATGTTCCTTTACCCCCTAATCTATTTCATTCTCACCAAACTCAAACATACCATCGACTATCTTTGCCTATTTCAAAGAATTTCTCTCCCAGTTTTAATTGTTTATTACACCTAGCACAATAACGCAACATCTATTGAATAATGTTCATTCTTAAATTTTTTATGTTCTATTTTCTAAAGGTCATCAATTTAATTTTAAAGGCCTTTTTCTCCGAAAGCCTCATTTTTTTTAGTAAAAGCAAAGCCGAACTCGAATATTTTAATGTATAGTTTTTGGCGTTCCCTGAGGCCAGTATTCCCGATGACCGAAAAATTTCACTCGAATGGTGTTTATAACAAATTTTACTAGCCCTCCCAAAAGAGAGAGCAAATTGGTTCCTATGTTGTTCATCCCAAACACTCTCGGAAGAATCATACAAACTCCCAAAGTAATAAAAAGCCCAATTATTCAATTTTTTGCTATACAATGTTTTAATTCTTGCTTGTTTAATAAACGACCGTGACGCAGGAACTCGCTACTGATAATTGAGAGCACAATGGAGATATAAAGAGGAATTAACCAAATATATCATTCAGTGCCTGGGGCCCCATGCTGTCATCAGCGACTGGTCCGGTCAAAGAAAGCTGGGTGGAGGGAAAGAAAAAAGGTAAATAAAGCAAACATAAGGATGTTAAAAAAAAAACGTTTAACCAGCGGTCTAATCTCCTCATTCACTTGTTCCCTCTCCTCAACGCTAAGATGAGGGTCATGTATTTTTTCCGCACTTTGCCAAAATTTCGCCGCCTCAGAATAATTAATCCAAATTAAAATTATTTCAATAATTACTAATTTAAAAATTATCTCCAAGATTAAACCCCCTAAGAGATTATTATGCAATTCCAGATTTTTACTTCCTCAATTGAGGGGAGAAATAATAACAAATTTGAGAGGGTCGCAGATTATTTTTTGTCAGAAATTCCGGTTGTCGTCTAATTCGGTAATACTCAATTTATTTTGTGCTAATTGGTCTTGAATATTTTCAATAGTATCTTTTTTGGCTTGCTTTAATTTGTCATTATATTCCTCTTTTTTTTTGGTTAATTCTGCTTTTTCCTCTGCGGTTGGGTTCGGTTTTTTTTGTAATTCTTCGATTTGTTCGTGTAATTTTTTTAGGTCCTCAAATTTTTCTTTCGCTCATTTTCGCGGCAAGTCGCCCTCTTTTAATCCTATTCAATAATCTCTTTTTTTCTCAATTTGTTCTAAAACATCATTTTCGATTTCGGTAATAGTTTTTTCTTGTCTGGTGCTTCACCACCAACCACCTTTACTATTATATTTATCCGTTTTCTTATCGTGCCGGTCAATATTTTCGTCATTTATCGCCGCTTGGTAAGTGGTGGCTCTGGCATAAGTAGTAATTCAAAAAAATCAATGAAAAAAGATAATTAGGAAAAGTATCCGCAAGCAGTTTCTTAAAATTCTCAAAAAACCAACTAATTTATTTTTTAGGCTGGTGAAATTGGATTTTCCTTTGTGGGACATACATTATAAAATTTCAGG